TTTCGACGACTTCTTTTCTTTGAGCTTTATCTTTCTTAAAAAGCAATTGATCAATAATATCCTACTATATATAATCCGGCTAAGCGATCGTTTGTGTGTGTGTGTCTGTCTGTCTGACCGGAAATTCATAACTTCGTTCCCCTTTGAACCCAGAGCGCTCAAACTTCTAGGGTATATAGGGGACTGGACGTCAACACTAATAATGGGCGTCAGAATGCCAATGTCACCAGCTTCGTTACGCCGTTCGCGTTGGCAGTGGATTGCTAGCACTCATGAATATTGTGTAGGGTAGGACTGGGACCCAAATGGTGAGCGAAGGAAAGTGATAGCAAATGATAAGGGCTGATAAGGGGCATCGGAATGCTAACGTCGTCAGTTTCGCAACGCCCTTTGCGTTGACCCTAGGATGTTCGCACTCATGAATATTATGTGGGGTGAGGCAGGGACCAAGAAGGGTGATTGGAAGAAGGTGGTAGCAACTGATAAGAACTGATAAGGGGCGTCAAAGTGTGGATACCACCAGTTTCGTTGCGGCCTTTGCAGTTACATTGGAACCTTGGCTCTCACATGTGGTATAGGGATGGGACGGGAACACGGATAGTGGATGATCAAAGTGATAACAACTGATAACGGTTGATAAGGAAGTTAGGAATTTGAGTACCACTAATTTCGTTGTAGCCTTCGTGGTGACAGTAAATATTAGCTCCTACACGTTGCATGGAGTGGGACGGGGACACCGATTGCGAACAGTATGAACTGATAACAAATGACAAGGAATGATAAGAGCGTTTGAATGCAAATCTCCCAACTTCGTTGCAGTCATCACTGGCAAACGATCAAGGGAGCGAGGTGTTGATGGTGGGTGACAGGAGTGGTAATGAGCGTCAACTATACTGATAAAAGTGGCGACAACTGAGTGTGCGCTCATTCAAATTGAACCAGGTTCTTAGCACGTGAATATGTTCAATTCCTAACCTTTCACCCAAAAAAGCAAAGGAACTTGAGCCACTCAACTCTCTGGACTGACCAATAGCGAATTTCCATCAGAGCTAGGCTAGATGCTGATTGATTGATCGTATTTCACTGCCACACCGATACCCTAATTACAGTCGATATCTCGAAGTCTAACTGTGGCAGCCACTATCAAGCGCAGTGACTGCCACATCATTTCCGGTGACGCGCCTAATCAGACTTCGAGATATCGACTGTATGAAAATTCTATAGACCGCTAAATCATCCGATCTTGACATCAATGCTAAATGTTTACGAAGTCATGATAAGTACCATTTTCATTCCGCATGCTACTGCGCGCATTACGCGACAATCTTCAGCGAAATTGGACAACCTTTGAACTCATGTGACACATCTTCCAAAACATCTTACTATTAGTTTCTCAGCCACGTGACCTAATATTTTGCGAGTTGTCCAGTCTCACTGAATCCCACATGTGATGCGCGCAATCGCGTGCGGAGCTAAACTGGTAACCAATATCATAATCATCGATATGCATCCATTCACCAGGGAACCTTCGAATAAATGATGTTATGAGCTGAAGAATTCAACAAGGTCGCTTTTGTGGTTGTATTTAGTGACTTTTTTCTCTCGCCGCTGCTGCCTCAAGGCACTGTGAAGGGGCAGCCCGATGGAGTGATGCCAGGGCTATACGATGGACATGGTATCGTGGTCCAGCCAGTTTCCCTCAGAACGTGGCGAGTTATCTTTGCAATGTGAGGTCGGGCGTCTATTCGGAGAAAGGGGATTTTGGGACGTTTAGATGGTTCTCTCCCACTGCTGCGGCCAACCCCGGGAGCTGTTCCACGATGGCATTCGCAATACTTGTCCGCATATAGCAAAACGACTGTGAAAACGGAAACCCACTCAATCTAACAAATCAAAAGCAATATTCTCTGACCACGGAGTTTGGGCTTTTGTTGAGCTGGTGAGCCCTGGCTGCGAGGTAGCCATCAGGCGTGCTGCGTGTTGTTGTCGTAGTGAACTCATGACTCATCCCCACTAGTGATCAACTAGGGAGGGAACGCTCTGCTATTGAGGTCACAGAATGAAATTCCCCAGAGGGTCAGACCAGCTTCTCGGTCATGGCTGGTCGGTGCATATGGTTTCCATCAAGTCTTCATTCTGCTGCCGCCCACTTCATCCTGATGGCGTGTGCTGGTGCATCGGCTGCGCCCAGGTGTCTGCTACAATACCCTGGTAGTAGCGTCCGTGTGCACTTCCAATCCGTGGCGCAAGGGGTCCTCATCGAAAGTGAGTGGAGGCCCAGGATGAGGCTGATTTTCACAGCTCGTATTGTCTTTGCCATTGCGACCGAACCTCTAGCTCAGTGACCGATCAGTAGCAGAGACTGAGCCAAACACAGCGCTGATCTTCTCTAGTGTCCTCCTTGCAACAGCGTCTATTTGAGGATCATAAAGCATAATCGTTCGTTATTGTCACTGATCTATTTCGACTTCTAATTTGTTATCCCGATGCGGGTTTGACCTTGACCAAAACGTCCTAGGCTAACGCTCTAGATGCACTCTTTGACATGCCAACATACACTGCGTCCCATAATTATACGTCCACCTAAGAATTTCCCAAAATCTCACAGAATATAGATGTTTTGAAAAAAGTCTCAATGTGCAATGTGTCATATATAAATACGGAATTGCCTATGAACATCAATTTTCTATTTGAGATCACAGGAATTTTTTCCAATAATTTTTGTGTAAAAGGCCACTCAGCCGACGTCCCAAAATTATACGTCCACCTCACGTTTATCGATTACTTTTCACTTCTGTTCCACGAAACTTTTTCATTGTGGTAACACTTCACTTCTTAAGGGAACAGCATAATAAAGACTGCTGTTGGATTTTGAGAAAGGGAAAAATGTCGCAAAAACTGTTGAACAACGCAATCGCACCAGATTTGGTCCAGATTCACGCCAAGCTTGAGAATTTTTTCAGGGGTTTCACATGATATGGAGTTTAGAAGAGCTCTAAAAGTCTCTCATTACTTTTCGATGGAAACAAAGGCCGTGTTACAGAAAAACATCCACTTTCATCCAACGGTGCTCTGTCATCGAATCTTCTTGAGAACTTTATGCCTCAACGGACTTTTGTTTCATGCATGTAAAGGAATCCCAAGATCATTCTTGATCGGAAAATGTGAAAGACGTTCATTTATGGCAAGGAATCGTGGCGAAAACTGGGCTGATTTTTGCATGAAGGTGCAGCCGAGCCGACTGAAGTAAGGTTCGCTTCTGCCCGATATGTTTTGGCATTTGTTTGTTTCTCTTCTCACGTTTACCTTTCCCTTAATGGCTTTTTTCTTAGTGAAGCACTACTAAAAGAAAGAAAATGTTGAAAAGAAAGACAGACAAACACTCATGCATAGCAAGGAGAAAGGGACCCTGCTCCAGTCGGCTCGGCTGCACCTTCATGCAAAAATCAGCCCAGTTTTCGTCACGATTCCTTGCCATAAATGAACGTCTTTCACATTTTCCGATCAAGAATGATCTTGGGATTCCTTTACATGCATGAAACAAAAGTCCGTTGAGGCATAAAGTTCTCAAGAAGATTCGATGACAGAGCACCGTTGGATGAAAGTGGATGTTTTTCTGTAACACGGCCTTTGTTTCCATCGAAAAGTAATGAGAGACTTTTAGAGCTCTTCTAAACTCCATATCATGTGAAACCCCTGAAAAAATTCTCAAGCTTGGCGTGAATCTGGACCAAATCTGGTGCGATTGCGTTGTTCAACAGTTTTTGCGACATTTTCCCTTTCTCAAAATCCAACAGCAGTCTTTATTATGCTGTTCCCTTAAGAAGTGAAGTGTTACCACAATGAAAAAGTTTCGTGGAACAGAAGTGAAAAGTAATCGATAAACGTGAGGTGGACGTATAATTTTGGGACGTCGGCTGAGTGGCCTTTTACACAAAAATTATTGGAAAAAATTCCTGTGATCTCAAATAGAAAATTGATGTTCATATTTATATGCGATACATTGTCACATAGGAGACTTTTTTCGAAACATCTGTATTTCTGAGATTTTGGGAAATTCTTAGGTGGACGTATAATTATGGGACGCAGTGTATTTCGTAATGAAACTAATTCGACTCGAAAAATTTGAATTTGAACAAAAAATCGGACGAATTATAGGACAACCCGGTATATTATTCCCGAGCTCGCGGGAGCACAAGTCGCGGTGGCCATTTATCTGGACACGCAACCACAGAACATTTTGATGGGACCTTCATCGAAGGATGGTATTGGTGATATTAAAGCGAGAGATTACGATAAGGTGTGTGTGCAGCGTGGAACTGCAACCACCACTGGAATCAGTAGTCAGGGGCCGGAAGGAACGAAATGTGGCGTTCTTGTGGCCAAAGATGCGCTAGCTGCAGGGCCTGCCACTCCTTTCTGAACTCTGCCCCCAGCGGCAGCGTCCTCTGTTATCATTTTGATGAGGTCTTCCGCTTTGAGTGCGTATCCTATAACTTTCCCATGGAACGTGTTACCAATCAAAGCATGGCTTTTGCTGTATGATGGTGGCTATCGGTTAAACATGTGCAAAAGACCTCTATTCGGTTGCTAGCTCGTCCATTATCGGAGGTCAACGGGCAAAGAAAGGGGTCCCATTTTGCGCGTTCTTGACGGATTTCTTTGCTTTTTTCGCCACTGGGGCATTATTCAGCATCTCCACTTCCACCATGAACCCATTCCAATCTTACCGTAATCCCCCGCTTTAAACATGTTAGGCATCGGAAATCATTGAATAGTTTTTGCTCGAGTACGGTCCTCCATCAGTCCACATTGTCCCAGCTCACACCAATCTCTCGTTTAGTGGTTTGACATCATGACGGAGGGTGCCTTATTTTTTCAAGCAGACGTAGAAAGAACTGCACTGCCGCTGCACTTCAAATCTCGGGTTTCAGATTTTTTTGCCCCACATCTTCTCATAGGCCTATTTTGATCATCCATTTGTTACGACAGTATTTCAGATGTTCAACGGTCTTGAGTTTATAACGGGTATGGAGCCAACAACAGAACCGAAGAAGTGGAATGATGTCAGCTGCGACAGAAAGATGAGAGCGTTTGTGTGTAAAAAATAATTTCATAAATTTGTTCTCGAAAGTCTTTCTGGTCCTCTCCTCTCGTAGTGCAAAGTTTGAAAATGAAGAACATACAAGGGATTACCAGCCTTTGTGAGGTTACATCGAGAAGCACTCACTTTGAAGGCCTTTGGAAGTCGTTTTGAAGGAAGCTGCACCAAACACTGTGGGAACAAATGAGAAAGTTACAAAGTATTGGAGGTTGAGTAGGAGACCTATCTGATGAAACGATAGCTCGCGCAGTAAGGGGGAATGGCTTTTCATCAGCGGCGGGCAGGACGTCGGAAAGGAGCTCTTCCAACTTTCGGACCTCACCCACTCACCATTTCTGACGTGGAAGGGGTTGCAACGGCCGCACAGGTTCAAAAAATACAAGAATAGAAATATGTAAAGTAACGATTTCGATATCGCTTGATATACATTCCCATCGCATCATTTGTATTCAGCGGCCTTGCCTTGAAGGGCCTTAACTACTCCGGGCCAGGGTGAAAATCGTGACGAGGACGTGGTCGCAGAAGTATGACCCCCTCCCTGAAATCGAGGTCTTGGCACGACCCCTAAAACAGAGCATACGCAATTATTCAATTAATTAATCAAAAAATTCCTGCAAAATAATGTTGTAAACGCCTTCTCTTGTCATCTATGCACTTTTTTCATCGCTGCACACTTTTGTGTATTTACTGAAATATCGACTCGAGGAAAGAGGCATTAACTTTGTGTGACCTCAAAGCAGGTTCGTTCAGAAATGCACAGAAATCCTGAAGGCACGGGGTTGCGATTCAATCTTGATTCCTTGCTTGAGTATATCAAAACAGCCGAGTGTATCAAAGGCCGATTCAACGGCAGCTGCGGCGCGATTTGTCACTGGGTCAGATTTGCTGAAATCCCGAAAAAACCGTCGAAATCTACACCCTCGATGAAAAGGTTCCATTCCTCCATTTCCCAACCTTTTGAACAGCACGCGGTAGGGTTAGATAGAGCTAGATTTGCTACTATCAGGCAGTATTGGAATTGCTATGAAAGCCTTCCATTCGAAGAGATATAGTCTCTCAAATTTGTCGAGGGAGCGTCGAGGATGCTGAATTTTCATGCGAGTTTTTGCCACTTAAAAGGCAATATCTCTCTAATTTCGCAAGATGAAAAAAGAAGACAGTTTTGGAAAGCGGAAGGTTTGCGCTTTCTAACAGTATGTTTAGCTTCCTTCTACATTCTAGTTGAGGAGATATTTGCGTCGAGGATCTATCGAGGATGATTCTCGGCCGCTCAAAAAGCCGCTCCCTTCTTCACCATTGCAAGTGTAATTCGTTGGCAAATGTGTCTAGAATACATTCTTTCCAACATAAGCAATAAGAAAAGGGGCAATCGTCATCATCCGATTTTGTCTGGGTATAGGCCATGCATCCGACCTCACTCGAAGTTGCAGAATCGATTGAAAGGTGTTATATGATCATGACCAGTTGACAGAAGCTGCATTGTAGTAAACGCATTTCGTAACTCCTACAACCTGAAAAAAACAACTTCATTTGCCCAGGGCTTTTCCTTCACGGTTGTCGTTTTTGCGACAGGGTCCCTAACAACAGTGTCATTCTCAGCGAGGTATTAAGGGAGAAGGAGCGAGCGATAGGCAGAGGAGGTGCCTTTGCAGCGCGTGCGCACATGTGGCAGTTCTTTGCGGGGATGCACTTTCATTCTTTGTACTGCTTTCAAATACGCCCTTCTCATGAAGGTAGAGGAATGGAGCGACTGAACCTGCAAAGAAATTTATATCATGTTTTTTTTCATATTTTCATTTTCTGCTGCGCTATACCCTCTTACCCTATCTGCACCACGATACCACTGATGTTACTGACCCCCAAGAGTACGACCCCCCATGACCCAGCCCGACAGGTACGACCCCCCTGTCGAGGATTTCCTCGACCGATATTCACCCTGCTCCGCACACTTCATCCCAACTCTTATCTCGACTCCTCCAATGAGTGCAGTACTTTTGCTCATCTCCTGCAGCGCGATTGCTTCCTTGATTAGAGGTACAACTCAAGCAGAAGTTGTGTGAACGACTCCCTCCGATCCGTAAAACAGACCCCTAGAGGAAAATCACACATGTGACAATCCCCTACACGGAAATCCCGAAAAGTGCACCAGGGCCTTCTGAAGTAAGGCGCAGCTGCTGCACGCTGTCTGGCACGCTCTCATCTGTTGCGCTTCCTCGCCTCATACTCTCCTCTGCGCCTAGTCTCTCATTCCTTAGCACAGCCGATTAGAAGGTGAGTGAGCCCTCAACCTGAGCGTTTTCGACGGATTCTTTTCCTTTTTTCTTTACTGCCGGCCCATTTTGCACCGATGCATTCGCATTCGTGTGCAAGAGCCACACCATGATTCTGGGCATGCCTTTAAAGGCAGATTTGGGCTCCGTAATGGGGTATTATGGCAACTGAAACTGAGTATGGAGATGCGAAATGGAACGACAGTGGAGAAAAAACGAAAAGAAACCGTCGACAAGGCCGAAAACGAAACCCCTTCCCACTAGCAGTGAAGGAGGCTTGCTTGGGAGAGGCACGTCCAAACGAGTTTTCCGGATATGCCAGCCGTTCCATCGGTTGATACGGCAATCAACCTAGCTGATTTCACACGTTATGCCAGCCACGCACCACTTCCGGAGGTGGGCGGGCATAGCTGATGCAAGCCGGCTATCGCTGTAAATAGTAGCCGGGGTCCGGTTGCCGCGCCGTCTCGATTGAGGAGCGCTTCGTCACCCTTCTGAGTGCAGCCCAGTCCATACTAGTGATTGAAACACTTCCTATGAGCGCTTTATACTCGTGCCTTTCACGTTTCAAGGGTTTGCGAAAAGTTGCTATCGAGATGAGGCACCATTTCTCCATAACGATTTGTGCCGTTCGCGCGAGTGCATGACGCTCTCACGGAAATTAGATGTAAAGGTCTTGTTCGGAAATTCAAATCACGTTTTGGGGCATGTTATCGAATCGTGATTTCAACTCAACTTCGCGACATCAAACGTTGGTTTAAAATGACGTTTAATTTGAGTTCTCGTTCTGAGAAGGATGAAAAACAGATTGCCTTATTTTTCACACGGCATTGTTCGTATAAAATTCCTCCCCGTCGTCGGAGAAAATTGTGTAGGGCTACCAATTTTGAATTAGCTCGATTCCACTATCTTTTTGATTGTAATTCAAAAGCTCAGGTTCGGCTGAAACCTTGTAACTAGAAAGAGTTTTACATCTGATCACGAATGTTACTGTTTGAGATAATAAAATGTCAAGATAGCATGTGAACTCAACACAACGAATTTCATATATGCATACACATTCGGTGGCAAAATAACAAAAATAATCCCTACTATATATAAAGCGCTAAGTCTGTCTGTCTGTGTGTGTGTGTCACGAAATTCATAGCACGCGTCGCAGCAGTCGTTAGGAGCTGATTTTTTGATATGATATAGGGGTGGGACGGGAACATATTTGGTGGGGGTCACAAGTGATAACGACTGATAAGAGCAGATAAGAGGCGCTGAAACACAAATTTCACGAAATTCATAGTGCGCTTCGCAGCAGTCGTCAGGAGCTGATTTGGGGCATGATATAGGGGGTGGGACGGGAACATATTTGGTGGGGGTCACAAAGTGATAACGACTGATAAGAGCAGATAAGAGGCGCTGAAACACAAATTTCACGAAATTCATAGTGCGCTTCGCAGCAGTCGTCAGGAGCTGATTTTGGGGCATGATATAGGGGGTAAGACGGGAACATATTTGGTGTGGGTTGAAAAGTGATAACGCAAGGACGCTTGCATCCGAAGCTAACATCGAAGACCTAATGATGCAAGCCAGGAAGATCAAGTACGACGTCATCGGACTGACCGAGACGAGAAGGCACCGCCCGCTACACGCCGTTTTCGATACTGGAGAAGAACTGTTCCTTGGAACATGCGACAGCAGAGGCGTTGGCGGTGTGGGTGTCCTCGTCAACACGCACTTGGCCATAAACATCGATTCGTACGAAAGCCTTACGACCCGAATCGGACGTTTGAGATTGAGAAGATGTGGTTCAACTCCTGCTTTGACAATCTTCGTCGCCTACGCACCAACATCCAGCTACGACGAAGAAGGAACACGAAGCATTTTATATGGAATTGGAGAAGTTCTACAGGAAGATCATACCTTCTTCAAGGTCATCGTCGGCGACTTCAACGCTAAGATTGGCCCAAGAAGAACGGCTGAAGAACTTCACATCGGTACTCACGGAATGGATGGAATGAGCAGGGTGAGAAGACTGTCGAGTTTATCATGTCGACCAACACCATCCATGGTAACTCGCAGTTCCAGAAGCCCTCTCACCTTCGTTGGACTTGGGAGTCACCTGATGGACAGTTCCATAACGAGATAGACCACATCATCTTCAATCGAAGGTTTTGCCTGACCGACGTCGCTGTTGTTCCAAAGTTCTACACGGGATCGGACCATCGTCTCCTCCGCGCAAGATTCCACTTCTCGATGCGTGTTGAGAGAGCAGCAAAGTTCAGGAAGCGAAGCCCCAGGACAGTCATCAACTGGGACCACTTCGCTTCCCTCGTCAGCTTATGGGAGGATTCCGTCATCGAAAACATCGATACGGCTCGTTGAACATCTTCACGATTGTGGCAAAAGGCAGAGAGTTTGAAAGTCACCAAGGGACGTCTGTCTCCGGAAACTCTCGAACTGATACGCCAGCGTGGAGCCGCACGAGCTGCAGGCAATCACCGACTCACGTCCGAGCTTGCGAAGCTATGCAGAGAGGCGATAAAGGAAGATCTCAAGGAGCGAAGAGCAGCAGTATTAGCTGAAGCAGCAGAGGCTGGGAGGAGCATCCGCAATGCCCGCCGAAGCTTTGCCAGCTACAAGACCAAGATGACCTGCCTACTTATCAACCGCAAGAGGATGGATACGTCGTCCCCTCAGTTCTCTCTTCCGAAGTCCGACACGCCATCAAGTCGGTGAAGAATTGTAC